TCTCATGCTATATCTTAATGTAAAGCCCCACATCAATCGCTCTTAATCTGTTGGCTCCCCTGGCTGATTATGATCACAATTTATCACACTGGGGTTAGCTATATCATCCAGAAGTGCAAAGACATCCTCTCATGACACTCTGTCTAGGCACGCATCCCTCAGAAGTCATCATTTAACCTCAGTTATTTACCAACTGAGGTTTGGTTTTGAAATAGACCACACAAGCATGGAATGTTGCTTCTTTGTTGTATGCTGTTCGCAAAAGCTTTCCATCTAAAAGCTTCCTCCAATCTGTCAGACTGTACTGAAGCAGAAGAAACTGGTGTTTGTGTTGAAAATGACACGGCCAAATCATCCTTTATGCACACACGTCACATGTGATGCTTCTGACGTGAGGTCTGAGCGGTGCTCGTCCCCCTCTCTGTGTGGGCCGCAGCAAACATCCTTTACCTGGTTTCCACCTGCCCCAACGAGCATGAACAACGGACAGAATGTGTACTTGCATGTGTGCATTGTATTGCTTTAGTGGTGCATGCAGTAACATCCTGATGTCACTATTTTCAGGATTTTGTTTATGACTGTATTTGTATTTATTAGATAGATCATTGATTGATTGTACAAATGTGCGTGCTGCAATTGGAGTGTAGTTGTGGGATATCTTTAAATAAATATAGTTGTCACTGTTGGCAGAGTTAGTCTGTTTCAAAATGACATGAAATACAGGAGAACATTATGAACAGAATTAGATTCTGTTCACGGTGGTAGATGGAGAATGCATGTGTGTGGAGGCTGCTGTGGTCTAACGTTAACTTGTAGCTATCTTTACAATCAGGCTCCCTTCATGCTTGCTAATAACTTATCTAAAGAGTTGGTTCTGCTAAGTTGATAGTGCTGTATTTAGTTAATTGGATGGCATCAGATTTCGACAAGTGAAATCTACGATATAAACTATTTGTGAACTCTGGAAAGATTTTGGAAGGGGGGGGAAATTGATCATTACTTAATCTCGGATTGTGTTATTCTCTCAGATGGATACAAACATTCAAATAAAAAATGCTGCAATTGGTTGCTTAATATACTACCGTTTATATACCTACAGTAGGCAACTTGCCCAAGTTCAGTCTACAGTATGTGCTGAAACACTGAGCTGGTGGAAATATTTCAAACAAACCGACACATGTGCCTTATGGACACAAAAAGTGTAACTGCGTTCTTTGCAAGACTTCTGACGTAAAATAGAAGGATGAGATACAGAAGTGTAACCTGCCAGTTGTACAGATGTTGTGACACCAGCTGGTTTACCAGTGTGTGATTAGAGTACATGTGGCAATGTAACATAGACACACATGCACAGAAAGCAGATACCCAAAGGGGGAGAGTCTCAGGTAAACACACCCTGGGGCATCTCTTTCTCCTGTGCGGCACTATGGCAGGAATGCAGGAACATGGAAAATGTTATTCATTAGAGGAAACATTCCAGGTGTCAGAGAGGTATACGCATTGCACACTCGAGTTCTGCTTGTACACACACTAGCAGTACAGTGGATTTACAACACTTCTGTTGCAACGCAGTGGAGGAAGAGGCAGGAATGTAAATATGCCAAGGGATTTTATATTTGGAAGTCAGCGCTGATAACAAGCTCTTAGATCCTTGTTTTGTTTTGTTTCTTGTATCTTATCAATGGGCTGTTGCCTGATGAAGTTGGTGTAAATACATTGAGAGACGGTGTTGTGTGTAGCCTACTCCAGCAGCTTGCATTGAAAATATTGTACATTTCCACTGCTGTAGTTCCATCAGTGCAACATAAAGGCATTTCATACAGCACTCAACAATCTAAAATACTGTTTTCATTGTTTGTTCTTTCCTCCATTGACAAAACTTGTATATATTTGCACAATTGATGTGAACATGTAAAGGGAAGGCTGAAGAATGTTATAGGGAAACGCCGTTGCATTTCATTCATGGTAGTCTAACATATTCATTCACTCATTGATCCATTCATTCATTCATTAAAATGTAGAGCAGGACAAAAGCCAATGCTCAGTTGGCAGTGCCCCGCCCCCCCCACACACATGAGTACAGTTAATTATTACCATAGAGACTGACCCAAATACCTATGTGTACGCAAGTTAGGAAAGGCAACATCCTTAATCAGTCTCCATTTCTAAGTGTGTGTGTGGCCAAAGTTTAAGAGAAGAACTTCACTTTTTAGAATCACCGTTAAGTCTGAGAAACCGAAACACTGAAACGCACAAATACAGTTAAACAAAGCACATTTAACAGTGGCTGGGCACTCTGTGTGAGTGTGTGTGGCCCCTCAGTCACCAATTAACCCTGCAAGGGCCCATTCTGCCTCGGATCCAGCGCTGCTGTCAGTAGCCCATCATTTACTACACATTCCACAAATACCCCAGATTCTCAGTTTCCAAATCCTACAAGCTGACCTAATAAAGCCGGGTTTGCATGACCACAGAGCTTATAAATGGTGAGAGGGACGGAGCTGACCTGCTGCTAAAACTGATACAGTGTGCAACAAATCTCCACACTGCAATGCATAAAACCTGTTATATATTTCTCCTATGTGCCTGTTAAAACACATCAATAATTCAGAATGTTCTACTGTCTGACGTGTTCCTACATACTGTATTATATTTTGACCCAACCCTAAATACATTGCCTCAAATACCCACTTGTGCACTATGTCTTCCATAGAAAATATTTCCCAACAAATGCACTACAGTATATCCATCAGTATGTTAAAAATGAGTCAACCTGTTTAAGGATAGTTTTTAGCCTTGTTTAGACAGTATATATTTATGAAATATGTTTCAACAACTGGGGGGCCTGGGCCTGGGAGCCACAGATTGGGACGGTATTGTTGTGTTACCGTTTTTGTTTCTTAGGATTTGTTGGCAGAATTGAGGAATAACAATTTAGAATGTCATTAAACTCATCCTTAAAGCCTTGAAACTGTGTGGTTTCCGCTCACACCTCAGTGGAATGAACCAGGGTGACCTTAAAGTGAAAGAGAAAATTGGCCAAGTTTACATCCAATTACACTTACACATTACCCAGGAGCATTCTTTTTTTGGCTGGCGTTTGGCAGGTTACCGGTTGTATTTCATCCAATTATGACATCTGCCTCACAAAACGTTATGTTGTAGCGGTAATTAATGAAACAATTTCCCAAAACTCCATGACAAAATACTTAGTACCACAGGAAAATAAGCAATATGTTTACTGAACCCAAGCGGGCAAGTGGAAAGTGTGTTCAGTTGGCCCGGAGGGTTTAAAGAGTGCTTCCAGGACACACGCCCATTTATAATGACGAGCCCTGAATGACATTGCACATTTTTTGTGAATTTCGAGAAAATTGCCAATTGAAAATGCTAATTCCCTTGCTTTATGAACGTCATCTTTTTTTATTTCCTAAATATGTTTCCTTTATAGAATTCTGCTCAGCCAAGTGTAAAAACATCTTAGCAATAATACAACGTTTTTTATTTCTCTTTTTTTATTTGCAAATGTAAGAATTAGCAAACAAACAGGTGGACCTACTGAGGTTTACTCCCACTAGCACCACTCACAACAATAAATACTTTTGTATAATATATATCATTACAGGCCTTTTGATGCTTATTGTGTTGGTATCACAAAGCTCACCTGGAGTGTGTCCTGCATTAATGTGTAAAATAATTATTATCATTATCATTTATAGCCCAACCACACCGTCACCTTGACTGGGCTGAAAGGAGACGTCAACATTAGCAAGGAGAGTTTCATTCTCTCTTAAAACCTTCACTTCCTGTTCCCGGAAGTAAACACAATCCAGTACAAACACCTGCGCGTTACTGCTCAATCCTGTGATTAGCGTGCATGAAATAATGATGGATTAGACCTAATGACAATGTGTGGGGAGAGTATGAGTCTGTGAGGATTTCCTTTGGCTGTTAGTCTACAAAAACAACAACAGATATATGACAGGGATTGAGGCATTCACACCGGCTTCAGTAATAATGAACAAGTTTTACATTCTACACTGTTGCTGAGGAATTGGCATGACACACGGGGGGGGGTTTGAATAAAAAAACTGTACTGCTGCTTCAAATCTTTCTGTTCTACAGGAGCTGTTGCACTGTTAAGGTTTGAAATGTAGAAACATTACTTTTTAGGGGTGGGTAATATTCCCTATTATTTATTTTTTTAATAAATTATTATAATTCAATATTATAAATCATATTCGATTTCTCTTTTTGTCCTTATAAAATCTATTTTATCTTTGATCAGGCAACCATTTAACACTTTGTGTCGTGTGATGCTATGAATCATTTTGTCTGGAGCCTACAAATAAATTCCCGGCATTTATTATCAGCATTTTTCAGTAAGAGTCAGTAACTGGGCCTTGTAAATAATGATAGTCAGGTAGATAAAGTGCAACTATATTTTATTGGGAAACTTACAAACATACTATGAATGAAATATGAAAAAGCCACAATCAGCAGATAGTTTCGCCCAACCAAAACGTCCCTTTTCAGGTAGTCTTGGCCTAAATGAGATATTAAAGCACTCTTAACAGACATGGGGTGTTTCTCAATGTCGAGTAAAGCTGCTCCAGAGCCACTATTTCAAGCATACTACGTCATCGAGTGCCGCCGAAGTACTGTTCCAATGTCCAGCATACTTGGAATTCTACCGAGGCCGGCGTACTTCGTTTGGAGAAATGTCGAGGCTGCACATGTGTAGACTCCGCGGTCTTAAAATCCCCACAATGCTTTGTGCACGGACCAATTTCCCCAAATCTGTGGCGGAAAATGTAAGGCGGGGCCTCTCATATGACGCACAGCTGCACACTTGCTAGCCTGTTCCACTCTTTGTTTTCCGAATGCCAGGAAGTATTCTTGACTCACTTCTGAAGCAAGATGCTCGGCAGACATGTGCTACCAAGCAAGCGTACTCGAGATTGAGAAACACCCAGAGACTAAACTGATCTTGTACTCACCCAGCGTGAGGAGGCTCAGGTACACGGCCATGGCGGGCATCATGATTGCTGGACGCATGGACACCAGGCTGTATCTCTGGCTGTAAGAAAATAAACACACATTATTGGAGAATGTGAACATATAATCATTAAGACGTCTTAAGAAGCTTCCTTTAGTACAATACCCTAAAATTCACTCCAGGTCCTCACATTTGGCAGTCTCTATTTCCAGAGGAATAGTTTTTGCAATTGATTCTGAAATGTTTTGCCAAAATGATCACTTCTAGTATTATTTTTGGGGTTTCGCACTGTTGGCTGTAATAAACATTTTCACTATCAATTATAATGCAAATTATTCTCTTGGTGAATCGACTGATCATTTGGTCTACAAAAGTACAACACATTATACAAATCCACATTTCACAAAGTCCAAAACAAAAAGCATGTTTAAAGAATAATAACTTCAGAAATGCCACTGTAGGTTAGTAGTCTTGGTAGAGGTAGAACAGTCCTGATTATGTTGTGATGCCGAGGAGAGACAAGGCCTCTTGTATACGTAGGCTCCACAAACACAGACATCTGCTCAATGAATAGGACAGAACACTGTGTATGTGTGTGTTTTGCGGGCACACTCGATGGCAGGTGAGAACACACATTGTTCATGTCACACACTAAACCAATCTGACCTCTGAGACAAATACAAGTGCTTACAGGAAGTGACACACTAAATGGGAGGACTGACTTCACAGCTAGGACTGCTTATGCAATTCAAATAAGCCTCCAGTTTGAAAGAATTCTTCAAACAGCTTAACCTTCCTCAGTAATCCAGGTTCTATCTAAAGCAGGTCTCTGTTGGAAAGCATTTTTCACACTCTGCTTGGCAATAAGAGGTCCATGTGGCCCCCCGCCCACACTGTTAGGAAGAGGCACTGAGGAGGGACCCCACAACGTCTCCACACTCAGTTCAACACATTTACATGAGTATTAATCCATTGACTGCAACCATAACAATACATAGTATAAAGCCTAAATAAACTTGTATAACAATATAACAAAAACAGTATGAAGCTCCCCAGGAGTCAGGTGGCAGAGAGCTGGTACACTGAATTCACATCGAGAGAAATAGATGTAGTATCTACGGAAAGCTGTGGAGGACAATCTGGGCAGAGCTATTTTAAATCTGCGGCAAAGTGCGGCCAAACAATCATTTAGAGTGAAATGCAGCGCAAGAGTTCCTGCAACCAATCAGAGTCTTTTGAGGCGTTGCTCTACATGAAAGATTAAAATGGCTTTCTGTCTTTACTAAATAAAATGGACATAAACAAAGCAAGAAGGGAGGATGAATATTTCGCAGTATATTTTTGCGGGCAAGCTTCATGACAGAATTGAAAAAAAACGCCCACTGTCTGCACAAAAATTGCACTTTGTCGCTTCAGAACACAAAAAAAATTCAATCCAAATGTAAAACATATGATTGGAACTATAACTAACTATAATTGATCATTTAACTTAATCAACAAAAAGGCACATTTTTCCTCACAAAGATAAAATGTCGTCTAGAGTAAAGACCATATACCATAGATTGTGTTTTAAATGTTTTTTGAGGTATAGGGTAAGGGTCCATGTATTCATTCATTAATGCCCTTGTGGGCTGGCAGTAGAGTAGTTGAGATGAGTTAGGGTCTTATAGCACTATAGTGCAGAGTGGAATGACCTGCAGAGAATTGAGAAGCCTGTTTTGCCACTAAAGAGCCCTAGAGATGAAAAAACATTTGTAAAATAATATTGTAAAAAATGCACTTATGAGATCTAAAACCTGTTATGAGACATTCAAATGAGCATTAATGTTCATTAGAAGCTACAAATACCACTACAAAATATAACTTCAGCTCAAATGAACGCTTAGTCTTAGCTTAGGTCACAAGTCATTTACTTAGGAATTTGAAAGAAACACTTGTTGCACTGTTAAACTTTGACAACATTGTTACATATTAACAGCTACATAGTTAAGAGAGCTTAGAGTTTAGCCAGAGGTTGTGACAGCACAAGGTCACAGTTGAATTGAAAATCTCCACCAGAAGCCACCGAAGGACAAGAAAACAAATAGAGTTTCAGCCATACAAATAAGTAAAACACTAAGAAAAGCCTGCAGGAAATATTCAGATTCCAGCTCTATACTCACTCAGCCACAGTCACTCTCCTCTGCACTGCCTGGTCACAACTGCTCTCTCCACTTTCCTCTGACAGTGTGCATGTGTGTGTAGATTCCCGTATCGGAGCGTGCACGTGTGCAGGCCCTGAACCCCGATGTGTATGTTTACGCGTGCATGCACATGTGTGGTGTGTATGTGTGCCAGAATGTGTAAAACAAACTTGAAAGCGCAACTGACGGGAGCGATGTAAAAACAGAGGGAACGCCGCGGGCCAATGGGGATGCAGCGCGAGGGACCCCCCCTTTTATTGCTCTCCTCCCTCCGCCTCGCCCTCCCTCCCGCGCACCCTCCGGCTCGTCACTGGGGCACCGGGGTGAATGGACAGCTATTCTTATTCTAATTCCTCTGTCACTCTGTGAGCCACTGGCTGAAAGAGGGGAATGGTCTCCAGGCTTTTGGAATGCACCACCCCTTTCTTCTGGACACTGAGGGAGAGTGAAGGGTGAGAGAGGCAGAGAGGACGCCAGAGAAAGAGAGAGATAGTTCAAAGAAGAGGAGGATGGACCAAGGAGATTGGAAAAAAGAAGAAGAGGATAGGATGGGTTGGAGAGATGTTGGGGTAAACCAGGCCAGAGCTTCAGTGCAGCACCACCCCCGACCAATGCACCGCACATAACACCACCGTCCTGGCACTTTGCAAGAGGAGCTACAAACTAACCCCAACTTTCTCTCTGCACTATCATTTCATAGTCTAAAGGCACCACTTTGGAGAGTTGGAGGACGACGTTGATATATTCAGAAATACAGTTGTTTCCTAACGGCATTGGATGATATGCAAATGTGTTTATGTAAAAATAAAGACTGAATCTGTCCTACAGAAGGGTACAAAATCAACTTCAAGGCAATCTCACTATTTAACATGTTGTATCTTGATTTTTAAATCCAAATACAAACAGTGTAAGTGTAAAAACAAAATTTTAAAGTTTTAGGAGGATGGTTGGTATATTTTCTTACAGTTGAGACAAAGCCAGCTACTCGTTCCCCCATGATCCCAGTTTTGTGCTAGGCTAACTGGCGCTTGCCTCATATTAAGTGTACAGATATAGGAGCGGTGTCAGTTTTCTAATCCAACTCACTGCAAGACAGTGTCAAACTACATGTGCTGGACTCCAGAAGTATTTCACCTCAACATCTCATTTGAGTTCTCTGTGTTACTTTAGTGCTGTTTCACGCTTGCCCCCTCTAGTTGGACTAAAAACCAAAGGATGTGACAAATCAACTGGGCTGAGGCATCAGACTGGGGCCATGGAGGTCAACTCTATTCAGAAACTCTAAAGGTTGAAGCAACTGGTGCTACGACTAGATTAGAAAAGAGAAAGAGAAAGAGAAAGTAGAGGGCGGGTGAGTGTTTGTAAGATATATGCATGTGTGGGTTATGTGCATGCATGTGTGTGATTCGGGCTAGACAACTCCAAAACTGTAGGAGAGAACAAAGCAGGGTTCACTTTCACAGCTTTGGTGATGTGACCTTTGACCTTTGCTAAAGAGGGAGAAGGAAAGGCAGACTGAACAAGTCAGACAGCAACATGGATTGTGCTACCCAGGACGGCTCAATGTACATGTTGTAGAAAGAAACCTTTATACATGTATGGGTTTTCTCAAGACCCAAGATCATTTGATCTCTCTCTCACTGTACCTCGTACTTACATTTGTACTTCTGAAACAACGGAGAAATCCTCCTAATAAATAAAGGTAACACCTTCTACAGAAACGGCTATTACAAAACTGAATACATTACATCTAAAGCAGAGAACGATTTCAAATCAAAAAGGTTTTATCGCTCTGTATTGACAAACTGGGAATGGATTATATATGCAACTTGCAGCATAACTAAGTTACAGCTACATGTAGCTAACTTTAGCTTCCTTACATTATCACTAGCAAAATACTATCTGAGTGTAAATCTCTGTTGGCTAAATGATCATAGATACTAACTTATGTAATATAACAGTGTTCTGAGTATATCATTAATGATGTAGTGCAAGCATTTGCTAAAAGTACATGGTGCTAGCTAACTTTAACGGCCGCCATTTTCATTGACAACGATTTTTCTCAAAATTCCATAAAGTAGCTTTAAAATGAAATAATTTCCAGGCAATCCAGTCTGGATCTATTTTAATTTTTTCACAGTTAATATTTGTATTGTTGTATATATTGTATATTAAGATATATACGTATATTTTAGAATATGTTTCAGACAATATATTTATTTTTATAATTTATTTAGCAGAGAGGAGGCAACAAAGCATTTCCCTGAACAATGTAGAATTATGTTGAAAATGCAACAAATTCTAACTTGAAAGGGACAAGGTTTTCTTCTTTTTTAACGAGCGTTCAAGTAAAAAAAAAGTAAAAGGAGAGAAGTTTGCACCTGCAGACCTTGAGTCAAGACTTTGACGCAAACACCCACACCCACACACACAATCCCGACAACGAGATAAGAGGATCCTGCAGAAGGTTCAGTGCCACCACTATAACTTCCGTGCAGCGGTTGGACAAAGCTATGAAATCTCGAGACACTAGTCCAAACAATCCCAGGCTCCCATATCCTTGAACACAATAACATGATAAGGCTGACGCTGTGTGTGTGTGTGTGTGTGTGTGTGTGTGTGTGTGTGTGTGTGTGTGTGTGTGTGTGTGTGTGTGTGTGTGTGTGTGTGTGTGTGTGTGTGTGTGTGTGTGTGTGTGTGTGTGTGTGTGTGTGTGTGTGTGTGTGTGTGCACATCAAATGAAGGGCTTCAGACTGAACACACTGCCAATACCCTGCAGCTCAAGACTCTGCTTTTAAAGTATTGTAAGACAAGGCTGGGCTAGAAATGGGATCAAATTATCCAGATGAGATCATGGAGGAAGTTTCCTTTTTGTCATGGGTGACTCAATATGCTGTA